AAAACAGAGCAAACAGCAGGCAAAACAACGCACTTCCTGTAGACGGTCTTTTAAGCCGACTGCTCTTTCATCACCTTGGTTTGGGCTCAAGTTAACGAGTGCATTGGATGCATGTCGTTTACAACAGCTGCAGAGTTATCTTTATTTAAACAGAAAGTAAATGTAGACAAAATTCCCTGTCCTATGTGCACATGTTTGCGTGTCTGTGCAGCTTGCCACCATCAACACTCCTTGCTGATGGACACTTCCATCAGACTAACCTGACCGGCTTGTCTCCAAGTCAGCAACTCTCTGTTTCAGCTGAGGCTGTTTGTTTTGTGATTACAGGTATTTCTCAGTGCCTGGAGCTGCCGAGCTGTGCCAACCTAATGTGAATTTTAAAAAGCTACAAGGCTGATAAAACACCGAACACGGCTGCTAATACCATTTCTAACTTCTGGAAAAGGTATTTGGCTCCAAGCTAAATGTGAATGTCACACAAAAGGAACACCAGATTAAAACAACGTGTCGCGAGCGCCGAGGAGATGACTGATGGCTTCTGACTTCAAGCCAGAATCTCAGCTCCAGCTCACACAGACTGAGAGATGCAGAGATGCAGATTTGACCCAATCAATGCTTCAGCTAAACAAACAAGCTCCTACTCATCCTGATGGGTCCAGTTTTGTCATGCTAGCAAATTCAGTGACACTGACTAAAGCCTGTGCAGCTGTAGCAGTCTGTGACTGTGAGCAGTGCAAATACTGTCACCAAAAAGGCCGACACCGCTGCTCACAGCTACGAGAGGAAACCTGAAGACAGGAACACGACACTGAAGTCCAGCCACAACAAGGTGGTGTACAACACTTCTCGATGCAACTTTATAGCTTATGTCCACACATACATATTGACAGAGGCTGTAACAGCAGATGATATTTGATGCATGTGTTTTTATTGGCCTGTTGCAACTGGACTCAACCACTTTAATACACACTGATTGCATGTGAATGCAGAGGTCCAGGATTATCGTGGTCTGTGCCTGCCGCTTCAAGACTCTACACTAACTTTGGGGCTTCACGGTACAAGTAAGGATTTGGTTGTTAGTTGACAAAAGGTTTCCTTCTGCTCATATCTGAAGCTAACAAATTATCAGAACTTTGCCAAAAATGAATACGTAAACACGTTAGAGCCTGAGGCTCTGCACAAACATCACTCGACCTGGTATTATTAATCCACTGCTGGGATTTGAAGCCCAGAAACTTATTGTTCTAAACAGGAACTCTTGTTGGGGCAAGTGGGAACACGGGAACTCTGAGGACAGCAACGGTTTTATTTCAGTTAGTTCACAAAGTAAAAAGAAAGCAGAAAACAAACACTGGCAGTGACTATGAGCCGTTATCTGTAATACAGCCAATTCAGCGTGAAAAACCAACACAGGGCCTACACGAGTCCCTTTGAGTCCCCGATGCTCTGCTGGGTCTCACTGACATTTCCTCCGTTGGTATTTGGATGACGGTGCTGAAGAGCTTTGTCTGGTTCCCATCGGAGTGCTCACAGCAACCTTGACGAGCACAGCATGCGGTCAGTTGCAGGGTGAGGGGCTGCAGTGTTGTTCATGTATGTTATTGTTTACACTGACAGACCCTCGTGCAAATTAGGCTCCAGCAGAGATCAATGGCATTGATCGCTCAAAGGTCGACCTGAGCCCCTCTTCCCTGACAGACACCGGGGTTAACGGGCAAAGATTAACGGGCTCGATAAATGATGACTCAGCCGAAACGGTTTGTCTCCTAAACACATCTGGGAGGACACGCGCGTGCACGCCAGCACACGGGACGCGGCTCAAACCTGCAGAGCAACAGCACAAATCTAGCTAGCCTAGTTTGCCCGGCTAACGCTAACGACCTGCTGCTGCTTGTATTGAAGCACATCCGCTGAAGGACCCCTGTGTGTTTTCCCTGTTAAAGGACGACGGCCATGTTTAAATAAGATTTCTAAAATGAAGTAACCGGTTGTGTAGTTAGCCAGTGTGCTAACTAGCTGCTAGTACAGGTTTAACGTGAAGCTAACTCACCTCATACTGGATGTACTGCTTCCTCCACTCCGGGGTGATGTGCGCTGACAGATGCTCTGTGAATTTCATGTCGGCCGCGGAGTCAGTCTTCCTCTCCTACCGTTACTGTAGCCGGGAGGCAGCGGGAGGCTTTCGCTGCTTATACAGCGACTCTCATCCAAAGATTATGCTCAGAGGTGCCCTTTTGTCTTTACGGGTAACCTAGCTAACTACCGGCACAGCATTTCTGCGGTCTCAAACACACTCGACGAAGAGTTCGCGGAGCGGCATCTCAGCTAAAGATAAAAACCGTAATTCTGTTTTTATCGCTGTTTCTGGAGGACAGGCCAACACTGTCGGCGTTAGCTGGGTCTTCCTATGTGTTTTTCCTCTCCTGCTCTCTCGCTGTCGTTCATCCTCTACCTCTCTCCACCTCCTGTCTCCCGCTGCGTTCGCGTGCAGTGGGAAATATAATAACGGGCCGAAGATCGGCGAAGGTAAAGTAGTGGTGGGTGTAACGAGGTGTGGCTTTCTTCGTGAGATGTCACCAGATGTGGGGAGTAAACTGGTCGTTGTCAAGCTTAATGGTGAGGTAATGAGCTGGCTTAGAGAGGACTCGGCGTCATAATGTCGTCACATTTAAATTTATCAAATGAGGCCGACGCAGGAATGCCATAAATGTCACATTTTTAATGGCAGGCTTCCAGTTGTAGTCGTAGCTGAAGTCTTTCCTGCTCTTTGATACCAGTAATGATTTTCTTATAGTCTCAATCTCTATTTTTATTCTTCCTGAAAACAGCGTTACGTTTACTCTGGAAACGAAGGTGCCCATTAGAGTTAAAGAGGAGACTCCAGGGTGTGCTTGTTATGCATTTGTAATAGACACGTAGGTAGCCAGTGTGCATGTAGCATCCTGTTTCACAGGATGATCACACTACTTTCACAACTTGAGGATTCCTAATGGCAATGGTGATGGTGATGATGTCACCAATAGGTGACATCATCATCAACACCAATAGGTGACATCATCATCATGTCTATGTTTCACATATAATCCACGTTTTATTTTGATTAAAATGTCCTACAAGCCCTCATCTGTGTGTTTTAAAGCTAAAAGCACAAGTTATTTTACTGTCAGTGAGACTTTACCAGCATAAATAAAGGATAGTCACTTTGGCAAAAGCTGATTGCAGCTTCTACTTTGTGATGGGAATGTTCTTTCTGGCTTAAAAGGACTTGACATCATGCATGAGCGATATGTTCGACCTATTATTGACAGAGACAACAAATGATTTATAACAGTTTAAATTCCTGCCATCTGAAAAAGCTTTCAATTCTGTTAGATGGGAGTTTTTATATCGGGTTTTAATAACCAGGTTATTAGCTGTTTGAGGTGCTTATATAATTGTCCTTCGCCAGGATAAAGGTTAATGGGGACGTCTCAGATTTAGTTCTTAAAAGAGGATGTAGATGGGGCTGCCCTCTTAGCCCTGCTCTATTTGCACTGTTTATTGAACCATTGCTATTCGACAATGCGAGGAAGTTACAGGAGTTACCATTAACGGCAAAGAGTCTAAGGTTTGTCTATATGCAGATGATGTCCTGGTGACTCTTACTAAACCTGACATTAGCCTACCAATATCACTATCTTTGCTCAATGCGTATGGCTCATACTCTGATTACAAGTTAAATCTTCATAAAACTCAAATTCTTACCTTTAAATATAATCCAGATAAATATATTCTAAAACTCCTCAAAGAATAATTGGAATAAAAACTAAATATTTAGGGGTTCAATTGCCCAAAGAATCAGCCGATATTTGCAAATGTAACGACACCCCTCTAACAGCAAACATTAAAGCAGATTTGGATAGATGGTCTCTACTGCTAATAAACATGCATAACAGGATCGAATGAATAAAAATGACGGTATTACCTAAACTGCTTTATTTATTCCTGGCATTGCCTGTCGAGGTGTTTCTAGGCAATTTATCGAACGGAAAAGAATGTTCTCAAATTTTATTTGGGGAAAACACAGACCTAGAATAAAGTATACGACATTGCAATTATCTAGAAATAAAGGAGGCATGGCTCGTCCATGTCTAGAAAATGATTATAAGGCTGCACAGTCAGAGTCCTGACTGCATGGTGCGACTCAACATGTGACGCCAAATGGAAAGAAACGGACCAGGCGGAAGTTCATGTTCCCCTTTCGGCTATTCTTGGAGATAAATCATTGTTACAGTCATTTTTAAATAAGTATCCTACTGCATGAATGCACCAGTAAGTATCTGGTTTAGGGAATTTAAAGATAAAACGTTTGAAAGAGAGAATACTACGGTGACAGCATATGATACGGCCTGCAAATATTGACAGTAGGTTTAAAAACTGGTGTGACCTGGGTGTCACTGCATGCTGGAAAATATCATCTGAAAAAGGTTTAGATACCTTTCAACAAATGTCAGTTAATTACAACTTGGAGAGAGGTGATTTTTTTAGATATCTCCAATTAAGATCTTATTTTAATAACAATATCATGTCTGAAGAGAGAAAATCTCTAGTTCAAATCTTTATAAACATATAAGGGAAAGTGCTAAAAAAACCCAAATGTTTATGATGTACTCAACACTACAAACTGAGAGGAAATTGTCTCCTGCCTATATTAAATGTAGGTGGGAGGAAGAGGCTGGATAGAGCCATCTGAAGAAGATTGGTCTAATATCTGTAAAACTACAGCCACTACTATGAAATCAGGCTGGCTTGCTTTAAAAGCCATGCTGACATCAGAACTTTATTCATCCAGTTTTCTCCAGAAAGTAAATATTTCTAACATGATGCTGTTTGCCTGGAAATCCAGTTAAACTGTGTTTATTACAGTCATTGATTTCAGTGAGCTGTATATTCCAATGACACTTGAATGCCACATATATGACGTTGCCACCTTTGGAACCAGTGACGTTTTTTTGTTTTCCGTATTATTTATTTATTAATTATTTATTTATGACCAGCGGGACGTTTGCGCATGCGCTCTCCGTGTTAGCGCCTGACTCGATCAGATGCGGATTTATTTTGAAATTTTTATTTTGATATTTTTAAGTATTAGAAACAAATATGAAAACACAACACGGGGAACTGCTGGCGTGCAGTAAAATGATTGCATGTGTTTAATGATGACACCGCATCAGCCAGTAATACTGTGATACTTGTTCCACACTCTCAGGCAGGAGATCCACGGTGCATATTCGAGTGTTTGTCTGCAGTCAGACTCAGAGTCGGTGCGCTGCTGTGAAACACTCCGCTGGGTTAGGAGCGCAAGGGGAAGTGGTCGCGAGCGTGGGGCCGTGTCAGTAACCACGCGGATGCCCGGAGTCTTTGACTCAACAGTGTGTGGAGGAGCCGCGCTCTGTGGAAAGCAGTGTGGCTAATCAGGCTCTGGGTATGATTCAACACAGTGATTCTCCACGCTGAGCAGCGTTATCGTGCAAGTGGAGAGAAAGACATCAGCGCCATCTGGTGTTTGAACGACGTTTCGCATGTTAGGGTTGATAACTTCATGGTCATTGGTTAAATGACCGAGCTGTGACAAAATCACAGCGCAGTGTGCAGACAGGAAAACACAACACGTGCACAACAGAAGGAGCTTCTTCAGCTCAGAGCAACAGAGTCCCACATTTGAAGCCCCCAAGAGGGGCGTGGGCCCCCCATTGATCCTCTGCCTAATCGAGCCAGGCTGTGAAAACAGGTGGGTCACAATCAGCCAGTCTCAGGTGAGCCCACGCCTCATGTAAGTGGGAGCTGCGATTGCATTTTAAATATATAATATTGTGCACTGGCTGCAGTGATCATGTGTATCCTAGCTGATTGTGAAGGATTAATATGACGCCTCGTCTGTGTAAAGACAGATTACATAATCTGTGCGTCTGTGTCAGCGTGGATGGAGCAGAGTGGGTGAAACACACAGGATTATTCTGGAACGAGCGTTTCTGAGATGCTGGCGATAGCTGACAGTAAAGTGGAAACATCCAGAGAAGCAGGGACACTAAATGTAGCTCAGTCCTTGCTGAGGATTAACAGGCAGCAGGGTCAGATTAGACGGGCTTGTAAACGAGGACGCTCAGATGTAAACAAGCTAAAACAGAATGTTAGAAAGAGTCGGCCACGCTGGAACCTGCCTCAGGCTTCTGCTAACACCAGCTTCCTTCAGATCAAATTAAAGTGACTGCAGCGTTTAACGAAATGTCATCTGAGCCCAAACACACGAAATACTCAAACACCATAACATCTGTGGTTATATCGCTGTGAGCGAGCGAGGCCACGCTGCTCTGTGGCTTCCTCGTTGTACAGTAGCGTACTCTCTCTGACTGATTCAGCCTCACTGTCCAGGTGGTTACTCACAAACATCACGTTCATCAGTCAGTGGATGTGTTTGGATCGACTTATGGGTGAGATTGAGTCATTTATTAGATTAAGAATCTGAGTCATAATCCACTAACACATAATAGAAAGTAGAACATTATCATCACATAAACATTATTGTGTTCCCCAGCAGAGCCTCACTCGGGCTTACTTTAGGTTTTTAAAAAGCTTTTTCAGCTGCTAAAGATTGACGGACGCTTCAGTTCTTCACGGTGTGCAGGTCTGTGTCAGGCAGAGGAAAGAAATACCACTTTGTATTTGGATCCAAATGTTTTATTATCACACAGACGTCTACTGTTATTACACGTACAGCGAGGTGTTCCTGCAGTGACACAGTAAACTCCTGGTCAGTCATCGTCCTGCTCTGTGCACACATGCACACATAAATAAGTGCACAGCAGCTTTTACTGTGATCCGGCTGCGGTGCAGCAGCGGAGGCTCCTCTCTTGGCATTCACCGCGTGCCTTAATTGACTGATTTTAAATCAAGGTCCACTGTGAACACTGAGGGAGGAAGCCAGGCGTCACAGACTGATGCTGGTGATGAGCTTTAGGTTCAACTTTCTGTTCAGGTCCATCCTCCCACACATGCAGGTAACATGCATGTCTACAGGTCTGGAGTCCTCACACAGCTGCTCCTGTGAGACTCACTTTGTTACCTGTGGTGCTTATTTCCCTGCTCACCTTCTTCCTTTCTGTGTGTCCTTCACAGCAGCTGTGAGCTGGTAACACCTGCCTGCCCAACAAACGCGGTGAACAGCAAAAAAGAGCTTTTTCCTGTCAAGGACACATGAAGCAGGCAGCCATTACACAGTAGAGCTGCAGGCTGGAGATCTGAGCTCATCAGAATGTAAACAGACGGAGGAGTGAAGATGCTGCGAACCAGAAATCTGTTGTTGTTTGTCTTTTATGCTGAACTGTCGTTAGTCCTTATTAAATATGCAGTAATATATATAATATAATATCAGTAACGCTATATCACAATGATGTTACACAAATGTGATTACACAGCAGTGCACTGATGGCGCACGCATCCA